CGTATTTACGATTCCAATGGAATAAATTATGACCATGAAATATTAGTGTTTAAGCCTTTTTATTATATCCTTACTCTGTCCTGGACATTGAGTTCTACCTGGATTCTATCCTCTTGGAATTTTTTATTCAAAAAATATACATGTATGTGTATGCACCTATGTATATTTATATATATTTTGCATATGTATGTATATTTACCACTAATATTATATATATATATATATATATATATATATATATATATATATATATATATATATATATATATATATATATATATATAACTAAAATAAACCTAACGATCCGGGAATACCTACCTAGGTTTCACCTTCAGGGGAAGCTGGCTAGCTTACCCTGAATATACGTTTAGGTGAAACCTAGATAGGTTTTTCCTGGCTCTTAAGATTTATTTTATATACAGCGTGCCCATAAATTTCGTGTGCACTTTAAAAAAATTATAACTTTATTTGTATTTGCGATAGAAATAATTTGTAAAAAGGATTAGAAAGAAGTGAATCTATATTTTTTAAGGTTTTATTGAAATTTTATTTAAGTTTCCACATGTCCTCCATCATTAGCAATACAAAGGGTAATACGATTTTACAGTTTACGGAAAACATTTGCCAACTGATTTGCAGTAATGCCTGAAATCACATTTGTTATTTTAACTATACTTAAATCTAGGTACATTAAAGTGTCAAATTTATAACCCAAAGTTCTTTAGTATTTTTATTTTATTTTTAAAAAGAGAGCTCGGAACTCAAGCCCTAAAGTTTAATTTCAAAATTAAACTTAAAATTTAGAATAATACCACACACACACACACACACACATACACATACACACACATACACACACATACACAAACATATTCAGTTTTATGGATATGAGTTTGTGACCCTGGGTTTCACGCTTTTACCATCATCAGACAAACTGGTTTATTTTTTTTTAAATTTGATTTATTTATGTTTGACTATTTTTGGTGGTGGGAGGGGGATGATTTACTTTTGTGTTTGTTTGGGATGACACTCATATATATATATACAACTGAATATGTTTGGTCTGTCAATTATATTGAGCAATTTCCTCTAAATACTGCGCATATAAAATAATATATATATATATATATATATATATATATATATATATATGAAAAAGTGAATATAAATATAAATAAATATATATATATATGTATAATTATTAATATATTATATGCGCGATTTTTTAAAACATTAATCAGTTTGTCTGACGATCGCTAAAGCGTGAAACCCAGGGTCACAAACTCACATCTATCCAACCAAATATATATATATATATATATATATATATATATATATATACATATAGCTATATATATATATATATACATAGTTAAATGGTGCGATGGATAAATTGTCGTCTCAATGAAATTAATACTAGCATATATTTAACAAAATTCAACAATAATATTAACACATTTATTTAATTAAATCACCATTGGCTTTCACTCCGGCCCCAAGACGACTTCAGAATTTCCTGTAACTCTTCTAGACAGTCTCCTTTTGTTGAAGTTGGTGAATTCTGCCATAATTTTTGCCTTCAGTTTATATTTGGTGTTACAAGGAGTTTTGTTGATGTCTCATTCAACTGCGCCCCCCCCCCACATAATAATTAAGGGGGTCGCAGTCTGGGGAGTTAGGTTGCCAGATGTAAGGGGTGATGAGGTTGCAGAAATTGTCTGTCAGCCCTGATCGGACTCTTCTGCTTGTGTGACATGGCGCAGAATCCTGTTGCCAGACAGAGTCTTCCAGTAGCCACCCTCTTGATCGACAGAAGCACAATCTCCTCACTTGATGTAGGCCTCCGTGTTGAGTCTGAGGCCGTCGCCAACAAATTCGGAAGTTCTTTTCTTATCAGAATGATCAGAGTGACTTTTCCGAGAAGTCGTACCTTCGTAATCACCATTAGACTCATCCAACTCTTTCCAAATCATCTGCACTCTCCTCAGATTGACATCCAAACACGCTGAAATGTTCGCGTTGCAGCTTCTGGCAAATGGCAAACGGTAGAACATGCCGTTTTCAAATCTCTGGCAGAGTGTATTGCGCCATGGTGCTCTTTTTGTCACAGGCGGTGCCCAACTGACCCCACTATACTGTGTAGCCGGTAGAAAAAAAAGCAACGCGCATGCGCGAAATTAAAAGGATGAAAGGGTGACGCTATTTTTCATTTATCTATCTATCTATCTATCTATCTATCTATCTATCTATCTATCTATCTATCTATCTATCTATCTCAGTCATTTTATTATCTATCACAGTCTGCTCATATCTATCTCTGTTTATATGTTCGTGATCTATCTATCTATCTATCTATCTATCTATCTATCTATCTATCTATCTATCTATCTATCTCAGCCTATTCATTATCTATCTATCTATCTATCTATCTATCTATCTATCTATCTATCTATCTATCTATCTCAGCCTATTCATTATCTATTTATCTATCTATGCCTAT